ATCATCGTTTTCACTGCTGTGAGTGATGCGGCGACGTCAAAGTTGCGCGTCGTCATTATCACAATCATGGTCCGCACCCGAACGATTATCTCCAGTCGCTTTCCCATCATCGTCATCACCACCATCATCATGGAAACCACCACGCTAACCATTTGGGCCGTCACAGCTGTCGTCTCACCAATCACCACCCTCATCACCACATGGTCATCAAATTCGCTCTCATCGTCGTCGTCGGCGATATGTTCCGGATAGGCCTCTGGGAACATCTTGCCTTCGTGGGGTCTTTTTCGTCAGTTTTGGGTGCTCCTGGGGTGTCTTCGGGCTCTCCTGGGCCGTCGTGTGGGCCTTCAGTGGGGCTCTTGGGTTGTCCTGAGGCGCTCAGATTCTAGAGCAGTCCAGGTGCGCACCAGACAAGCTTGGACAGATCTATCATGCCCAAGTGCGTGCCATAGTCGCATTCATCCTCATGGCCATCATCATTCCTAGCGTCTTCCTCGTCATATTTTCTCAACATGAGCAACGTCGTCATGCCAAGACTCATTATTGTCTTTGTCATCTCTTCACGGTAGCATCCTTGGCCTGGTATGCTGGTGATGCTGCGCGTCACGCTCGCGAATCGTAACCATCGTCAGCATCAGCAGCAGCAACATCGTCCTCATTCCAATCATCATCCTTGTTCCCAACGCATCATCATCATCATCATCATCATCATCATCATCATCATCATCATCATCCAAACCATCACCATCATCATCATCACGATGGGACCCGCTACGAGTAGCGTCTACGCCATCGCAGCCATCGTCTCATCCATCATCATCAGCATCAGCATCAGCATCAGCATCAGCATCAGCATCAGCATCAGCATCATCACATCATCATCATCATCATCATCATCATCATCATCATCATCATCATCATCATCATCATCATCATCATCATCATCATCATCATCATCATCATCATCGCGCGCGCTCAGGTTCTAGCGCAGGTCGCGTGGTTGCTGCAAGGGCTGTCGGCACGAGCACGCACAAACGCAAGCCACAGTCGCTTCTATCATTACCCTTCAACATCATCACTGTCATCTCCCCCGTCCTCGGCATCCTCATTACTATTTGGCATAATCCGGATGGTAATTCGCAGATTCGTCATGGCCCTCAGAATTGTCAAAAGTCATCATCATCATCAGCATCATCATCACCGCCATCTTGGCTGGCATCATCGGTTCGCTGCTGTTGGTGATGCGGCGACGTCGAAGCCGCGCGTTGTCATTATCAGAACCATCGTGCGCGCCCGAGTCATTATCTTCATTCTCTTTCCTACCATCCTCATCACTCCCATATTCTATGTCAGCCCCCCAAGGGCCACGATCCATCGTAAATTACGCTGCGTCCGCGCTCCCAGGGCCACGATCCATTGTAAATTACACTGCGTCCGCGCTTCCAGCGCCACGATCCCTTGTAAATTACGCTGCGTCCGCTCTCCCTGGGCCACGATCCCTCGTAATCTACGCTGCGTCTGCGCTCCCAAGGCCACGCTCGCTCGTTCCCTCGTGGCCACGATCCCTCGTAAACTACGCTGCGTCCGCGCTCCCAGGGCCACGATCCCTGGTAAACTAAGCTTCGTCCACGCTCCCAGGGCCACGATCCCTTGTAAATTACGCTACGTCCGCACTCCCAGGGCCCCCTGGGACATCCTTGGGCGTCCAGGTTCCTGGAAGTCTCCGAAACAAGCGTTTCGTTCGAGACATCCGCAATAAACGAACATGCTTACTTCACCGTATGTTTTATCGATCGGAATTTCACAGCGTTTCGCTCGGGACATCCTCAAATTTTAATTCGCCGGCCCTCTTCGGCATCGTTATATATCACAGGACAATTTCGCCGGTCCTCTTCAAGTCGATTCCGGGGGGGAATAAGCCTTCTAAAAAAGAACCCTGGGCCCCCGCCATTTGTTGGAAAAATGGATCGCCCCCGCAGCGGCGGTGGCGCGGGATTGTCTCGACAGGTTGTCCCGATGGTTGTCCCGATGTTTATCCCAATAGTTGTTCCAATGGTTGTCGTGATGGTGTTGTCCCGATGGATGTGCTGGTAGTTGTCCCGATGGCCGTCCCGATGGTTTTCCCTATGATTGTCCCGCTAGTTCTCTCGATGGTCGTCCCGATGGTTGATCCGATGTTGTCCCGATGGTTGTCTCGATGGTTGTCGTGATGGTTGTCCCGATGGGAAGGGTGTCCCGACGGTTGTCACGAGGGTTGTCCCGATGGTTGTTCCGACGGTTGTTCCGACGGTTGTCCCGATGGTCGTCTCGATGGTTGTTCTGATGGTTGTCCTGATGGCTGTCCCGAAGAAGCTCCATGAGCTATATAAGCCCTTTACGCCCCATAAGCCCTAGAAGCCCTAAGCGCCTTATAAATACATGTACTAGCTTTAAGCCTCATACGCCCGACGAGTCCTATATGCACTGCTAGCCCTCAGAGCCACATGAGTATCAAAAACACTATAAGCCATATGAACACTATACCTATACGCCTTTTGAGTTCTAGAAGCCTTGCAAGCCCTTGACGGTTTGGGAGTGCGGCTTGTATGAAAATGCATCTTGATTAGCCAGCGCGTGTCCATTCGCGAGTTAAATTATGCGATAAACTGCAAATCACAGATGGTGCCACCCCCAAGCCTCATCATCACCCGAAGGGTGGTCTATGAGGTAGCGAGACTCAAATTGGTACGCCCCTCAGGCAATTCGTGCCTCATGGCCCCCAGAGGCGCTCAGCTGGCCCTTCAGGACGGCTTTTCTTGGGAACTCCAGTTCGGCATACAGCCAGAAAAAAAGGGAGGAGGAGGAGCAGGAGGAGGAGAAGGAAGCAGGAGGAGGAAGAGGATGCGCACGAGGATGAGGTTTTGGAGGAGGCGGCAGAAGGGGCGGGCAGGCGGGAGGGAGGGGGCGGGGGAGGATGTGCAAGGACGATGCACGGGATGGACGAGCACGAGGACAGAGGGGGCGCAGGCGCCCGAATCGACGCCGCCTCCTCCACCGGGGCGACCTCGCAGCTGCCGATCTTCACGAGCCTGGGCGCTGGCGGCACCGCGGGCGCCATCGGCCGCCGCGCGCCGCGGCGCGGGCGGCGGAGCCAGGGGCCAAACTCTGGCAGTCGCTGCGCGGCCCGGTCCCGAGGCAGCCCCGCGAGGCTCCCCGTCGTGCGGCCACGCTCCCCTCCGCGCATCCGCGGCGCGACGGTGCGCGCGGAGGCGTCGGGCGCAGCCGCGCACCGGCCGCGCCGGGAGACCCTGCGCGGGCACGGTCCGCTCCCCCCGCTGGTCACCCGGCGACAGGCACGTGCGGGCCCTGGCGTGGCGCGATGGCGCGGCATCCCTTCGGTGCTGCAGCATCGGTTCTGCGGCCTGGAGCCCACGGGTTCCCCGCCCTCGTTGGCACGTGTGCTTCCAGACAGGCGCGTTCCACTACTCGCAAAGTGACTACTCGCAGATGGCCTGGATCCCCCGCGGGGGATCTACGATAAATCGCATCAAAGCAGACATGTGTTTTTCGAACGTTTGCGAGTAGACACTTTGCGAGTAGTGCAACGCGCTCGGCGAGCTTCGGAACTCTGAAACCACGACGACGGCGACGATGCAGACGAGACGACAACGCAAACCACGACGACGGCGACGTTGGCGACGCAAACGACGACGCCGACGACGCAGACGGCGACGGCGACGGCGACGGCGACGGCGGCACTGACGACGACGACGACGACGACGACGACGACGACGACGACGACGACGACGACGACGACGACGACGACGACGACGACACTGGCGACGACGACGACACTGGCGACGACGACGACGACGACGACGACGACGACGACACTGACGACGCTGACGACGACGACGACGACGACGACGACGACGACGACGACGACGACGACGACGACGCAAACCACGACGGCAACGACAAACGCCCTGGCGGCTGTCGGCCGCCCTGTGGGTTGCTTGGGGGGCCGGGCGGCCCCCCGCCACCGCCACGCACCGCACGGAGACACCGTGAGAGCGCGCACGAAGCGGGCCTCCCGCCGAGCTCCCTCTCCATCCGCCTGCTGCTGGCCGCGAGCGCCTCCAGGGCCCCACAGCCGTGGTGACGGACCGCGTGGTGATCTCGACATGCCCAGACACCTCACCGCGCGGTCCGTCACCCCACGGCGTTGAGACCTCGGAGGCACCAATCGCTCGCGACGCCCTCGGGGAGCGACTCGAGTCCCAAGACCACGCGGTGCCCCCGCATCCCCACTGAGTCACCGCGCGGTGTGGTCACCACCCTCCCCCTCAGAAATCGTGGGGGGTAAGGGTGGAGGGAGGAGGGAGGAGGGAGGAGGGAGGAGGGGGAGGAGGAGGAGGAGGAGGAGGAGGAGGAGGAAGAGGAGGAGGAGGAGGAGGAGGAGGAGGAGGAAGAGGAGGAGGGTTCGCATGCGGCCCCCCAGTCTGGGGGCCCCCCAGGAGCTGGCACGCTCGGGGCGGGCTCCCTGGCCGACGGGGCTCGCAGCGCGACGCGCTCGGAGGGAGCCCCTCGACAGCGGCACCGGCGGCGGGAAGTGCACGGGCCGCGAGCCAGCGCGCGCTCGCGGCGAGGCCCGCCGGGAGGGAAGCTGGCCCGTGGCACCTGCAGCGAGGGAGCCATCGAGCAGACAGGAAGGGCCCTCGAGGCAGGCCGCTTCGGGGAGCAAAGAGAATGATAGCACGATGGCGGCGGAGGTCGTGCGGGGCAGGTAAAGAACGATGCCCGAACACGATCCAGGTGCACGGTGTACCCCGTGCACGTTCTCTGCTACATCAGATCGAGCCAGTTTTGAAGGGGCCCTGGGACACACAAATAAATACACACTAATAACAGGATTCCCCATGTTTTCCAACATGTTCTGGGTGTTTGTCTTCCACCCCCACTTCCCATATTTTCCCATATTTTCCGGGGGAATCGACGATCAATTGTGTCTGTGTGCTTTTTTCCCCTCCTGAAGTTTACACGGGACGATAGTGGCCAATCTGCGAACGCGCACCGCTTGACGCCAGCCTCGACCGCTCCCCGTTGGCCCCGTGCGCTGGACCTCGCACTACGTTGTCTGCGAATGCCCGCGTCACTTCCGAATTCTGGATTAAGCACGACCATATGCCGCGCCGAACCAGCAGGGGCTAAATCACGTGGCAAGTTGAGCCGGCAGTGATGCCGAGAGCGTGAAACAACAAATGGCATGCACTACTGGCATAACACAGGAAAGCAAAGCCTCAGACTCCGTCCCGCGAGAGCCACGAAAGGGTCACAACGGAGCAACGAGGAAGAGGAGGAGCATGCTGGTTTAGTGTAGCTCATGTGATTCCTCACCTGTCTTATACTGTCTTATACATGCATTATTCGTCTGCAGAAGCGTTTCCGTGGCATTGGACCCAAGCCACCCCGAGCAGGAGAGGAAGTGGAGAAGAATCAAACATGTGCGCAGGAAGACTCGGCGGAGATCCGTGGGGGGCAGATAAGAAAGGGCAGCGCAGGATGTCCGAAACGGCGATGAGAGTATATGGCGCAGGAAATTCAGAGCTTTCGAATTCACTTGCAGGAGCGGTTTATCTCAAGCGCGTCAACTTGCTCACACTCGACTCAGAATAACCATTTCGCATGGAGTTGACTCGACTCGGAATAACCATTTCGCATGGAGGTCGGTTAATGGAGAGGAAGCATGCTGCCAAAGCATTTCCAGGTGTCTAACAGATGCTTCAACTATGTTTTAAATATGCTGACAACATGTTTGAAACATGTTTGGAACATGTTTTACACATGTTAAACATATCTTCAATTCAATGATCGGATTGTTAGAGTGTCCGTTGTCATGGCATCCACAACACTTGATTCGCGCGAGCTTGGAGCGCGCAAGATCAAGCTCTGCACATTAGCAAGTCAGCGCGGGGGATGACCAACATGGATTCCCTGCATACCGAGTGAACGGGACTTCCCGAACCCTGGGGCCTGGGCCCCCTTGACCGATGGCCCCCCAAAGAAACATGATCGACCCACGAACCCGGAAAGGGATGTAGAACTGTGAAGCATGGCACCGTTTCCAAGACGTCAAACTTGGGCGACGGGCATTTACAATGCTCACAATAACGATCGTGATGTACCGTGCCACGGGCTGTGCTGTACTGCGCCGTGCTGTGCCGTGCTGTGCTGAATTCAACGTGTCACGCCGCGTTGAACCGTGCCGCGCCCTACCGTATTGTGGATAAAGCCGTCGGCGTTAGAATCGTGGCCGAACTGATTTGGATCTTAAGCTCGAACTGAATGAACGCATAACTCGGGCTAGTTGTAGATAGTTGTAGTCGAGGCGCGCGGGGCGCTCGACCAGCTCGAGCTCAAGATCCGATTCAGTTCCGAAGCCATCGCCCGAGACATTCAGTTCCGCAACGGAGCGAACCGAGCGCGACCACGACAGGCGGGGAGAACCATGCGGGGCGTTCAACCAGCTCGAACTCAGTCCGAAGAGGGACGAACCGATCAAGGCGCGAATCCGAACCGAAACGAAAAGCACCGAGACGACGACAAGGCCCCCGTTCGACACCTCCTCAAACAATGGAAAATCAGGATCGACCCACGAACTCGGAAAGGGACATAGAAATGTGAAGCATGGCAACGTTTTCAAGACACCTGATTGGACGACGGGCAATTGCAATGCTGAGTGCTTCGATCTTGATGTACAGTGTCAAGGGCTGTGCTGTGCTGCGCCATGCTGAACTGCGATGTACCATGCCGCGATTGTGCCATATGGCGTTGTGGATCGAGCCCTCCTTAGTTAGCATTCGAGTCCTGACCGAGCTGAACTGGATCTGAAGCTCGAACTGCCTGAGCACATAGTAGCCGCCCCAGAGCTAGTCGAGGTGGAAACGTGGAAGACGCTCAGTCAACCCAACCTCAAACTCCGACCCAACTCCGACTAGGAACGACACGATACGGGGCACAGGCTCGCGGACACGCCACAGGACGTGCCAGGGGCGCAATGGGAGATGCGCCAGGGGACGTGTCAGGGGACGCATCAGGGGACGTGCCTTGAACGTGCCAGGGACCTGCCACGGGACGTGCCCAAGCGCGTGCCACGGGGCGGCCAGAGGACTTCATGCCAAAGGACGTTGCAAGGGGCTCGTCGCGGAACGGGCAGTGGAAACGCCTGGACAGAGCAAGGAAACGCTACAGAGGACGAGCCAAGGAATGTGCCACGCTGAGTGGCGTGCTAGGGGACGTGCCAGAGCACGTCACGCCAGAACGTCGCAAGGGACGCACCAGAAGGCGCACCAGGGCGCCAGGGGACGCCCCACGGACGGGCGGGGTTGGACTGCGACGCACTCTAGTGCAACAAGCGTTTCGCTCGAGGCGACCTGGACACGTGAAACCAAGCGTCTCGCTCGAGACGTTCTCACTACATCCGCATGCTAGACATCTGCAAGAGCGACCTGGACACGTGAATACAAGCGTCTCGCTCGAGACGTCCTGCCCAAATCCTCATGTTAGGCATCCACCTGGGCGAACTGGACACGTGAAGCCAAGCGTTTCGCTCAACACATCCTCATGCTAGACAGCCGCCTGAGCGACCTGGATATGTGAAACCTAGCGTCTCCCTCGAGACATCCTGCCCAAATCCTCATGTTAGACATCCGCCTGGGCGACCTGGACACGCGAAACCAAGCGTTTCGCTCAACATCCTCAACCCATCTTCCTGCTAGACATCCGCCTGGGCAACCTGGGCACGTGAGAACAAGCGTTTCGTTCAACCTATTCTCATAGTAGGCATCCGCCTGGGCGACCCGGACACGTCAAAGCAGGCGTCTCGCTCGAGACATCCTCAACACATGTTTACGTTAGACATCCGCCTGGGCGACCTGGGCACGTGGAAACAAGCGTTTCGCTCGAGACCTCCTGAACACATCATCATGCTAGACATCAGCCTGGGCGACCTGGACACGTGAAAACAAGTGTCTTTCTCAAGACATCCTCAATAAATCCTCATGTTAGACATTCGCCTGGGCGACATGGACACGTGAAACCAAGCGTCTCGCTCGAGACGTTCTCAACACCTCCTCATGCTAGACGTCTGCCTGAACGACCTGGACACATGAAAACAAGCGTCGCGCTCGGGGCATCCTGCCCAAATCCTCGTGTAACACATCCGCCTGGGCGAACTGGACACGTGAAAACAAGCTTTTCGCTCAACACATCCTCAACACATCCTCATGCTAGACATCCGCCTGGGCAATCGGGACACGCGAAAACAAGCGTCTCTTTTGCGACATCCTCAACACATCCTGATGCTAGACATCCGCCTGGGCGACCTGAACGCGTGAAAACAAGCGTCTCGCTCGAGACGTCCTCGGCAAATCCTGACCGAGGCAACCTGGAGGCGTGAAACCAAGCGTCTCGCTCGAGAAATCCTCAAGACCTGGGCACGTGAAACAAGAATTTCACCTGAGACATCCTCTGAAGTCTGTTCCCCAGGATTCCCCATGAGAGGAACGATCTTTAGCACAAAACAAGCGTTTCGCTCGAGACAACCTCAACACATTATGCAAAAAAAGCGTTTCGCCTGAGTCATCCACAACAAACGAGCATGCTTATTTACCCTGTGTTTGATTGATCGGAATTTCAAGAACCAGCGTTTCGCTAAGAACATCCTCAATTCTTTAATTCGCCGGCTCTACGCGACCTAGTTATCAATCGCAGATTGAATTCGCCGGCCCTACGCAAGTCGAGGCTGGGGGAAACCATCTAAAAGAGAACCCTGGGCCCATACCCTTTCTGGCAACCGGCGTTGCGCGATAGACATCCTCGACACATCCTGCAGAAGGAGCCTTTCGCTGCAGGCGAGGACCTCGCTCGAGACATCCTCAACAGATCCTGACGAGCGAGCGCTTCGCCGCAGAAATCACCAGCACATGCTCATGTCAGTGCTCCGCTTGGGCGGCCTGGGCACGTGAAGACCCGCGTTTCGCTTCGAAACACCCTCAACAGTTCCTCGTTGTTAAAGATCCGCCTGGGCGACGTGGAACGAGCGTGAAAATACATTGGTCCCGTTCGCCCCAGAGCGCAGCAAGCGTGAAAATCACGCGGGTCCTTTTTGCCCCAGAGCGCAGCAAGCGTGAAAATCACGCGGGTCCCGTTCGCCCCAGAGCGGCGCAAGCGTGACAGCATGTGAATCCTTTTCGCCCCAGAGCGGAGCAAGCGTGGAAACACGTGGGCGCCTTTCGCCCCAGAGCGCAGCAAGCGTGAAATTACATGAATCCATTTCGCCCCAGAGCGGAAAAAGCGTGAAAACACGTGGGTCCCTTTCGTCCCAGAATGCCCCAAGCGTGAAGACACGTGGGTCCCCTCCAGGAGGCCCCAGGAGGCCTCCCCAGGGCACCAAGACGGAACGTGCCACGCGATGTATGCAGATAGTGCCGACTCGTGGAGATTGCTTTTGTTGTGTGCCTTCCCTTACATCTGAGAGGGGGAGATCGCCCCATGGGTGGCCAGGACGCGTGACGACACGTGGGCCCCTGTCGACCCAGATCGCGCAGCAGGCGTGAAATCACGCGGGTTCGCCTCGGGGCAGAGCAAGATTGAAAACGCGTGGGTCCCTTTCGCCTCGGGGCGGAGCAAGCGTGAAAACACTTCCTCACGCTTGCTCCGCCTCGGCCAAGAAGGGACCTACGTGAGTTCACGCTTGCCGCGCTCTGAGGCGAAAGGGGTCCACGAGTTTTCACGCCTGTTCCGCCCTCCAGCAGAAAAAGGACTGGGGCGAAAGGGGCGGGCTCTCCACCTCTAACAAGCGTTTCGTTCGAGATATCCTCGAATTTCTTGCGCGCAGGACGCGCCATCCTCGAGCGGGCACGCGAAAAGTAAACTGTTCCAGATTCTTTGTAGAATTCTAGGGTCTCCGAACCTCGTTATTTATTAAGGATTCTGCGCAAAACGCTCCGCACCCCGCTTTTACTAGGGAAAACGAAGGTCAGCGGACCTCGTTATTTATTGATCCAGGATGCGAGAAGGGGGCGCATTTTCCTCGAGCGGGCCGGCGCGAACCGCATTTTTGCCACGCCGAATGGGACTTTACCTTGGTATTTTTATCGAGCGGAAATCCGCGGGCCCACCCTCAACATAGCACCAGGGACAGACTACCATCCTGTAAAAGTAATCCCTGGGCCGGGACCCTTTCCGGGAAAAGCACCTTGACCTCAGTCGGCACAAGCAAACGCGAAAAACATGATCGACCCACGGACCCGAAAAGGAATATAGAAATGTAAAGCATGGCAACGTTATGGGCAAATGAAATGCTGAGTGTATCGATCT